TCTATTCTCCCAGGTCCCACCGCCTCTATAGCGGTGAACATGGCAGAAAGATCTTAGAAAAAACTGCAATCTTCTCAAAGTCATACCCTGGCCTGTGGACGGGATGATGCCTGCCTCCTATGGCTGGTATGGATGCGAGGGTGCCAACTCTGGACCGCCAGCATATCGGCTACCACCTTCTTCTCCCACAGGGCGGCACTCAGCAAATACGGGTGAAGACACATACCCGATGTCAGTAACATCCGTGCATCCCTGTGGTGCGTAGTAAATGGAGTTGATATCCATTTACTCTGGACCATAAACTCAGTCACCCAATAGAGACAGAAGGAAGAGGTGGCAGCCCTGGGCTAAATGCGCGCACACACACACACACACACACACACACACACACACACACACACACACACACACACACGTGCTTTAAGATACAAAAGGAAAAGCAGGAGCAGGCTAGCAAAGCAGGTAAAGCACTCTTCACAGCGTCCTGATGACCTGAGCTCAATCCAGAACACGTGTAGAGGTGGAGGGAGAGGACCAATTCCACGAAGCTGTCCTCTGCCCTCTATATGTGTGTTGTGGCACACCCCCACACACACACACCGCACATACACACAACAGTAATAAATGAAGTTGGTGTTTTGTTTTGTTTTCAAACAGCAAAGACAGAGCCCAGGCGAGAGGGGGTCAGGAATGACCACAGGTTCCCACTAGCAGGTCCCTGCCTGATGTCGCGTTCTAAGCACCAACAGCTAACGCCCGAGGTTTTGCATGCAGTCCCACACCAACCCAATTGGGGATGACAGGTCTCTTCTCAGGCAGACCTGAAATAGTTGAGCAACTCTGGTATCCTGACTAGTTGTACAGGAAATGCTTTGAGGGCTGGCACTACCGTCGTGTACAGCTTTTTGTTGTTGAGGCAGGGTCTCTAGCCCAGGCTGGCCTCAAATTCACTATAGCCAAGGATGATCCTCCTGCCTCCCAAGTGCGGGGGGTTAGAGGCATGTGCCACCCTACCTGGTTCAATTGATACTGGGGGTTGAAGGCAGGACCTCATGAATGATGGGCAAGAAATGACCCTCAGCCCCAGCCTGTGTTTTCAACTCTTTTGCCACAGCACGGGGGTGGGGGGTGGGTGGGGGTGGGGGAGGGGCGCGGGGAGGTTAACAGGCAGGTACAGGGTCCGGTCAGCACATCTGCTGCCCTCCCCAGGTTCTTCTACAGCAGCAGCCGCCAAGGTGACCAGAATCTTTACTGAAAAGCAAGTTGTTCTGATGCTAAGTTTGCTAATCCAGGCAAGAGTGTTCGGATGGGATCTGACCACACATCCCTGCGTTTACCTCTTTAGTCTGCTCACCCTAGGAGAGAGAGAGAGCATCACTTTAAACACC